AAAAAAAAAAAAAAAAAAAAGCCATTTAGGGTTTATTCTGAGACAAATTTGGGGACCATTGACCTGGAGCCACACCCAAGAAGTCTTGAACACATGGACTGGAGGTGGCAGGGTTGCAGTTTGTTTGTACACATTTTAGGGAGACAGTGATTACAGGTGAGTTCACAAATCAGTACCTGTAAAACATACGTTGGTTTGGCCCCCAAAAGTGGGACATCTGGAAGTAGTAGGTTATAAGCTATGGGTGGATTTAAAGATTCTTTAGTTGACAATTGGATAAAAGAGTTAGGCTAAAATACCAGAAGTCAGTGAAAAAGAACACTTGAGATAAAGGGTCTGTTACTTACAGAAAAAGTACTGGACAGACTCAATTGGTTTGTTATGTATATTAAGGACCTGCAGGTATGTCTTATATAGCCTTAGGCCTATTAGTGAGTCGCAGAGGAGGTCTCTAAGAAGGGGAGAGGGGCATTATGAGGCAAGTCTGATCTCCATTGTCATGGCTAGTAATTCAGTTTTAGGGATCCCCTTGGTCAAGAGAAGGTCTAGTAGGTCAGTCACTGAGGAGGGAATCTTAGTATTTTATTTTAATTCACAGGTTCAACTAAATTTTCCAGCCTTCATTTTCGTTGGTCCTAACAAGCTCTGGCCTTCTACAGAAATACAAAATAATTCTGTATTTTCACAAGATCTGTAAGTGATTCGCACATACCTGAAAGGTTGGAAAGCTGTTGCTCAAAGAATGGTGCTACTCCATTTAAATCATTCTCTTCAGTGCCCAATTAGTGTTCAACAAAAGATTAAGCTCTGAATATACATTACTTCATGTAGTACTTATTGGTATGCCACTTCTTAAGACATAGGTACTTTAAAAAAAGATTTTATGGGAGTAGAACCTGTGGCTCAAAGGATTAGGGTGCCAGCCCCATATACAGGAGTGGCAGATTCAAACCTAGCCCCGGCCAAAAACTGCAAAAAAAAAAAAAAAAAAAAAATTATGATGGCAAATACTAAAAAATTCACACAATTGTAGAGTTAAAACTATAATAAACCTTCCCTGTATCTTTCACTCAGCTTCAACAGTGAAAGCCACATATTTTTCATGATTGTTTTAAAACAAATCCCAATCATCACATAATTTTATCCTGAAATAGTGTTTATATAACACACACTCCTTTTTGTGGAGGGCATGGTAAAAATATTTTTAAATTATTCCTTAATAGCCTCAAACATCCTGGCATTGTTTATATGTCCTTGATTGTCTTATAATTGTGTACACTTTTTTGCTGGCATTTCTTCTTTAAGTACTTTGAAACAGCATCTAAATAAGGCTTATCTATTGTGACTATTTGATATGCCTTTGGAGCCTCCCCCCCCACACACACACACATTTAGCTACTAGGTTCCTACAAATGAAGGAAATGTTCATATCATTTGAAAGAGGAGGAAACTGGAACTCAGAACTTAATTGTCCCAAAGTTAAATAGCTAGTCAACGGCAATGCCAAAGTTGAAACCAAGCTTGTCCATCGTCATTGATTATTCCCTATATCATGTGATTGCCCTTAGATTGTCCCCTAATTTTCTCTTCAGTTTCATTTAACTCACTGACTTCTTGTCTTTTTGTTCATTCTAAAAGATTTTTTGTGTGTGCATATCCATTTTGATAACCCACAATTTAAACTCCAGACCGTTGAGGACTTAGATACACCAACAAGTGATGTTAATACCCTTCCACAATAACTCATAGAATGAGGGAAGGTACTATCCCCCCCTTGCTTGCTTGCTTGCTTGATTGATTGTTCCCTAATGTTAAGCCTAAATACTTTCTAATATATGTGTAGCTATAAAGATGACTTGTTAATGCCATCCTGGGAACTTCTATAAATCCACCCCCATGTTTTGGTTGCATGTAAATTTCTCACCAAATACTATAGGTTTATATTCCCATCTTACCTTTCTCTACCAATTCAAAGCCTATGTTGCACGATGTACGAATGATATTGTAGTAGTCTAGTTATCTTTGGCAATGTTGGGGCTCAGAAAACAATATCCCAAAATATGGTGCTTTGACCTGCTGAACTGAAGAAACAGCCCCAAGATCTGTATGACATCCCTCTCAATCCTCTTTCTTTCCCAAAGCACAAGATAAATTTCCTTATTTGCTTAAAGTCCAGATGATCCAAAGAAGGGAAAAGTTACCTCTGGTACCTTCCCTGAGTTTTAATTAACTTAACATATTTGGCAGGAAAAATGACTGAAATTTGTCAATACAACCAGACTTTTGCCACACTGCACTGAGGGCCCAACAAACTTTATCCCAAGCCATTGTACAATCTTCAAGTCCATTTAATTCCCTTAAAAATCATTTGCTATCCCCCTTAAAATAGCATACAGTTCCCTGGGCAGTACCTGTGGCTCAGTGAGTAGGGCACCGGCCCCATATACTGAGGGTGGCGGGGTCAAACTTGGCCCTGGCCAAACCGCAACAAAAAATAGCCAGGCATTGTGGCCAGTGCCTGTAGTCCTACCTACTCGGGAGGCTGAGGCAAGAGAATCGCCTAAGCCCAGGAGCTGGAGGTTGCTGTGAGCTATGACGTCACAGTACTCTACTGAGGGCAATAAAGTAAGACTCTGTCTCTACAAAAACAAACAAAAACCCCCCACATTTCCCATCTCCTTATGAAGACGAGTATATATCTGTACCCCACTGTGGTATTGGTTAATAATTTTCTTCTAATTTTTCCATGCTATATACATTATAATAAAGTTTTGTTTGTCTTTTCTTCAATTAATCTGCCTTTTGTCAGTTGATTTTTCAGCAAACCTTCAGATATAGTAAAGGGTAAGCTTTCCCTTTGCACCTACAGCAATCCTTTAGTTCTGCCTTTAATGTCGGGAAATAGTTTTGTGTTATAATTTATAACAATTGTTCTAAACTTTAAAAATTTTTAACATTGTCTATTTATGTTACATATTGGAGATTAATATGATACCTTTGTCTCCCACCTTCCTTCTGATAAATTATTTAAGTCCACTTAACTACAGCCGTATTCTTGAATAAGTTAGAGTATACAATCACCCCCAGTGAATATACCCAAATACTCCTGAATATACCCAAATCCATGCATACTGAGGTTTCTTATTCAGCCTTGCTGAACCCACATATACAAAAATTTGGCTCTTGTGTACACAGGTTTTGCATTCTGCAAATACTGTATTTCTCATACACATTTGGTTGAAAAAAAAATCTGCATAAGTTTTGGGCAGTGGCAGTACCATAGCCAAAGAGGTTTTTCTGAGGTGCAATTACTACTAATTGAAAACTTTTCTCAATACCCCACTGTGAGGATTTGCAATAAAGTTGGCACTATATTGGCAATTTTTGACAGTCTGTAAGGAGACTGTAAGAAAAAAAATCTGCATATAGCTGAATCCATGAAGTTCAAACCCAACTTTTTCAGGGGTCAACTGTATATACATTTTATAATACTGGGACAGGACTATAGGACAGGAATATATCACATATAGGCACCTAACCATTTTCATAGAGAGCTTTTCTAGTATCCAAGGGGATATTGGAAGGCACTCTTTCACCTTTGTTATATTAACAGGTATGAAATAGAGCAACATTTGACCAATTAGAATATATAATTTATGATATTCATTTAATACATTAATCTTCTATCTTGAGATCAATACTAACATTTGGCATACAAAATATTTGCTCATCTAAACTTCCTATTTTTCAAATGAATGGAAACCATTATACTCTCAAAAATCTATATATTGCAATATGACCTAGAATTCTAACCTAACTTCTAGTTTCTTGATCAGTGACCATTAACGAATTAAGTATTAAATGGCAGGGTTTCAACCAAGTGCTCATAGTTGCCTATGACTTACCTACAAACTTTTAGTTGGGCTTTTCTCTGCCCTGCCCTGAAATCCGGCTTGTCTTCGAGTCTGATTAAACAGAAAAATGCAGACCATTCTCTCTTCACAGATCTTTCTAAGAATGGCTTACCATAGTGAGAAATAAACAGCCCTGATCATATTGTTTGCTCAGCCCGCTCATTCCTCCACTTTCCCTCCAAAAGTTCCTTCTAGCCCGGCTTATCCCTCCCTATAAAAGAAAATTATTTTTCAGTTTAATTTTTGTGATTCAGGCGAATCCTGAGGCCAGAACATTCTCCCTATTTCCACATTCTTCATTATCAATTCTCTCTTTATCTAAGTCCAGATATTTATTTATTTAGAGACAGAGTCTCTCTCTGTCACCCTGGTGGAGTCTCTCTCTGTCCAGGTACTGTGGCATCGTAACTCACAGCAACCTCAAACTCTTAGGCTCAAGAGCTATTCTTGCCTCAGCCTCCAGAGTAGCTGAGAATACAGGCTCCTGCCACAACCCCTGGTTGTTTTTAGAGATGAGCTCTTGATCTTACTCTGGTTGGTCTTAAACTCCTGAGATCAAGCAATCCACCACATCAGCTTCCCAGAGTGCTAGGATTATAGGTGTGAGCCACCATGCCTGGCCTTCAGATCTGTTTTTATTCTTTTGGTTTAAGCAAATGGGAGTTCTTGCTTATCATTGATTTAATGTCTTTCTTTACAGTGATTCTAATCCCTCTGGTTTCTAATCTCTGATAGAAAAATAATGGTCACTGAATTTTTTGAGCATGTTAATGACGTTTCTACAAAAGGGCTATGTGACTAGAATTCTTAGAGAATTACCAGTATAGTGTCTTTCTTTTAGTTTCTGAAAACTTAACCTTGAATCACTGTTGGGACTACTAGAGATATGTTATAATATAATAACATAGATTATATTGTTATTATTAATTAATTGATTAATATTATTAATATTATATTATGTACAATATAATATCTACATTATATATAACATATATATTATATATATATAACATATATTATATATATGGGTTTTTTTAAGTGACTCCCTTGCTGTCTTCAGTTCCTAAGTACCTGGTCCAGATACTCAACAGAAGTAGAAATTTCAATTGAGAAGTAACAAAGGCAACACAGACAGAACATAAAAGTAAAATCATAGAGACTTCTAAGTGCAGAAGAAAGAAAGAAAGAATGAAAGAGAGAAAGAAATAAAGAGAGAGAGAGAGAAAGGAAGTTTTGCTGAAGCATAGACAATTCCAAAGAGAAGAAAATGGCCCTTCCTTGCAGGTGAGAGGAGAGCCCCATTCCAAAGACAGTACACAGATATAAGTATCTTATCTCATTCTCCTATCCTTATCTTATTGTTCCTATAGTTATCTGTAAGGTATTTCATTGGTCCTTTTACATCTTCACATATTCTTTTCTATACATTTACCTTAGTTGCTACATGTGCCCATTTTCCTTCTTTTTAACCATAATTGCTACCTGCTTTCCTGATAATTATATGGTGGTAACTACTAGTCTTGTGATTTTTGTAGCATTTATAGTGTGCATTGTTCTGTAACTGTGATCATTACCCCTCTCTGTATCACAAGCTAAAAACTGCATTTTATGGAAAATGGGACATAGTTGGTCAACTGAGTCACAACTGAAACTCTTCATTTACTTCAGGGCCATTTCTTACTCCCTTATCTTTGAGGCCAGGCTTTCCTCCTACTCCTCTGTAGCCTTTTTGATCCTATTCACATCTATGTTTATCCTTTTTAATGAAGGTCATGACTGCAGTATTTATATATTTTATATATATATATATATATTTTTTTTTTTTTGCAGTTTTTGGCCAGGGCCAGGTTTGAACCCACCATCTCTGGTATATGGGGCCAACGCCCTACTCCTTTGAGCCACAGGCACTACTCCTGCTGTATTATATTCTAAATTTTCTAAGTTTAAGGCATAAAAGCTTATTGAAATCATCAATGTTGTTGTTACAAGGCCACTAGACTTTTTTATCTGCTGCACAGTAATCAGACCACTAAGACAGCAGGGGTCATAGAAGAGAAAAATTCCATAATCATTGTGCAGCCAAACAAAGAGATCAGAGAAAACTCTCAAATCAGTCTCCTACAAGAGTTCTGGGCTGGGCTTTTTAAGGGAATTTTGGCAGGCAGGGGGGCTGGACCCTGGCATAACTAATTGGCTGGAGCTGGAGGATGAAATTAAAGAAATGTAAGAACTACATTCTTGCACTGAGTCAGTTCCTTGGCAAGGCTCACAGGACTGGTTGGTGTCCGTGGTCCCACTGAAATGCAGTCAAGAAAATATCTTAGAAAACAGTCTTACATTTAACACTGAAGTTGTTATCTATAGGCGCAATTCAGAGAAATTGGAGGACTTTCTGACAAAGGGTATGTTAACTCTTAAGCAGTAAACAGCTATAAGGGAGTGGGCTATGGGAAAGAGCAAGTTAATGTTCACCTATGCTTTTTAAAGGCTATGTTATTGTTAAAATCCCAGCAATTTGGTTTTAATTCATTTTATTAGGATGGTTTCATTTTTACTGAACATGGAACTCAAATTACCACTGACTAATGAAGCCAAGGAAAAGACTTTGACTTTTACATCACAGGAACAGATGTCAAATACTGAGTGTGAGTGAAAGCTGATCATAGGTACTCTGGAAAGCAGTAATATTTGAAAAACCATCACCCTTCTGGGACTGACCAAGGTCAGCGTGGAATGGAGAACAGATGGTGCACTAAAATTACTCTCCCTTTAAAACTATACAGAGCTATTACTACTTGATAATAACAACATTTTTAAGCAGAATTATGCTGGGTTTGCACTGAAGGTTTTTTTCTTTCTCAATCCAGAAAGACAGCTCAGGGTTTTTTTGATGTTGCTTTTATCTCACTAAATAATAACTTTGAAACGAATTGTTCTACTATGTGATTTTAGGCATTATATGTAGCTGTTAATTCATAGTCGTCTTCACTCTGGCTCTAAATTAAGATCCTCTAGAGAACTTAAATTAATATCAGTACTCAAGCTCCACTCCAGACCAATTAAATATGAATCTCTGGAATGGAATGGATGGGAACGCATTCTAAAATTTACTCAAGATATTCTCCTATGCGTTCACACAGAATCCTCCCTGGTGTCCAATTACTTACCAGGTCAAGACTCTAACACTGTTGAGCTGTGTGACTATAGGCTGGTTACTCAAACCTCTTGAAGCCTCAGTTTCTATATTTTCAACTTGGAGGTACTGGTTATTCATGATAACTGAGAAAATTGTGTAAAATTCTTATAATATTACCTGGTATATAATAAGTACTCTCTTTATGCATGGTATTGTGGTTATTATATTTGTGACTACTATTACCATTATATTACTATTAATATAGGCTATTATTATAGTTTAAAATAAGGTACAGTCTATTTTTATGATCAAGATAAGGTACCACCTGTTCTCACAGAGCAGGCAAAGTGATTCTTGTAAACACAAGGCTGCTCATGTTGCTCCTCTGTGAAGATGCCTCTTATGGCTTTCCAGCTGATGTCAGTTGAAAGCCCCCATCCTTCAGGTGGTCTGCATGACCCCCTTGGCCATTTCCACCTTGTCTTCTACCCTTATTCCTCCAAGAATCTATTCGTTCAGACCACCCATCAGCAACAGTCTTCTTGCTGGTCTTTAGACACAGCAGGCATGGCTCCCTGTGCCCTTTGGACATCTTCTGTTACTTTTCCTAGACATTAAAACGCCTCCCTCCCTCAGCTACTTTAGGTCTCTGCTGAAATGCTATCAGTGACTTTCTGCTTTACCAAAAAGTAGTCCTTACCTCCATAGGACTCTCCAAACCCTTAATTTCCTCCAGTTTTCATTATAAATCATGCTTACCACCTGAAAGTAGTATATTTATTTGTTTAGTCTTGGTCTCCAGCAAGGGAATTTGTGGGAAAATACGTGTTTAGTTAACTGTCATATCCCAGTACCAAGAAAATTGTGTGCTGTGCCAAAGGTAGTCCCTAAATCTTTGTTCAGTCTATAAGGTCAGAAAATTAAATTCACAAACTCATCCTAGCAAAAGTGCTACATATCTCATGGCTGAGTATAACTGTGATCACCTTTGAAGTACTCCTCTTGGGAAGCTATGATGCCAGCACCTGGTCCACCCTTCAAAGCAATTTTGAACTCTTTTTCACAATGGCCATAGAGTTGTCATTATATGAGGTCTGACAGTTACATTCATGAACTCATCCTAGAAAATGTGCTACATACTTCCTTGCTGAATATCACTAAGGTCATTTTTGAAGGTGGGGAGCTATGCACTGATGCCAGCAGCTAGTCCACCTTTGAAAGCAGTTTTTCTAGGATAATTTCATGAACTTAATTGTCCAACCGTATAAAAAAATGGGATTTTTTATAGCACTTCTTTAATATTTAATTTACATATATTACTACAAAACTGTTAGTATTTTAGGGATAATTTCT